CTATAAGTACCATTTTAAAAAAAATTATGGAGCAACCTACGTATATAAAAAAGAAATCTGAGGGGAGAAATGATATAATTTTTTTCCTTCAACATTACACGAGTGAAGTGAAAATTAAACTCAATCAACATGAGGCTTACATCCCCACCATATTCGGTATTCCATTGGGATATATCAATGCACCTCGTTAAATTGTTATTAAATTTTTGTCACAAAAAAAAAAAACAATATTTTAAATAAAAAAAAGTGCTTATAAGCGCCCGATAAAGTGTTGCTATAATAAAATCATATAATTTTATCAGAATAAATTCCAAACTTTTTCGAAGCAATTTCATCGTTTTAAACAAATTAAAAGTTTCTCGTCGCAAATTCTGACAATGGTTAAATACTCTCTCGTAGAATATTCGGCGTTGCTACTGTTTCACATCCACTAATTGCTTTATTTGCGTTTTGTGTTTTACAGAATTGGTTTAAATATTCAAATGATTAAGTGGTCGCAACAAATCAACAAGGAAAATATTTTAAGTTTGAAATATATCATACAATTCAAATTATTTTCACTGAAAGTGGTTAAAAAAACGCGAATTATTCGCTAGATACTTTATTGCTTGATGTATCTTCATGTAACCTATTTTGTCAGATTCCCGAGCTCATTCGATAGAGACAATAGTTTCTTTTTCGAAAGTTCGTCCAGGAAAATTCCTTGGAAATGAGATTTTCCCAAGAATTTGTATCGAAATCTAAAGACATCTGAAGACAACTTTGATTCATATATGCACGAGGTGGTTTTTATCGAGTTTAAATTAGGGTTTCTGGAGTGGAAATACACCTCCAAAAAGATGTCAATCTTAAGGTAATTTTCAACGGGGGTTCCACGTTTTTTTTCTCGCTCCATTGCTTTTGACACCCAAAGTGGGTACATTTTTGGTTTGAAAAAGCCAACCACGACTTAAGATCTGTCGATTGGTATCATTTGTTTTTTGCTCCAAGCTTGAGTGAAAACAATAAAAGTGATTGTTATAGTGATTATAGCAATTTAATTATAACAACCACTTCTATTGTTTTCACACAATTTCAGCTCCTGACGATATCTGGCTGAGCTGAGTCATCTGGCTGAAAATATCTCAATATAATGTCTGTGATCGTCGTTGTGGATTGACATTTTTTTTGTTTATAATATGAATACCGCAGACACATCCACTCAGTCCACCTGGATAATTGCTATTTGTATTAACTCGTTTATACATCAAGCACTACTTCCAAATAAATCGGCAATATATATTTTCAAAGAATCGTGTCTGTATTAGAATTTCACCAATTATGGCTCTTTATGTGCTTGTGCCGCATTTACTGCGAATAACCGCTTAATCAGATTCACGCGTAATTTATAGAACCAATCTTTACATAATGAACCATACGTTTTTCATTTGTATCAGCATTTTCAATTCCTCAATGCTTTGCTTAGCAAATAAACTGTTTCACGCAAAGTTCTTTGATTAGCCATTTATTTTCAGCAAACATTTATTACGCTTTATTTTGAGCGAAACAATCATTTATCAAGCAAATGTTGGAGAAAACTTTGGTTTCATCAACTGCCATTCTTCTGGGGGTTGGCAAATACCATTTGCATTCAAGAGAAGACAGATACTGGCTTTTATTTTTCAGCCATTTAGCGAAGACACAGGTGTCGATTAAAACTGATACATTATTTTATTTTCTAAAGTTTATTCTCCCTTATAAATGTTTCTTCTTTGCACTTGATCGTTCTCTTTCACATCATTTCATTGCTTTTGTATTTACACAGCAATTGCCCTTTGTTCAGCCATTTATTTGGTATAATTGACATGAGCAGGTACTTTTCATATTCATCACAAGCACAATTCGCATATACCAATATGTCAATAAAAAAATGTATACTCCATAAATTCTATTGTCAAAATCGATCCAGATTTTATTTACCTTTACGAACCATGGACAACGGTAAAGGTATAAACAAAAAATGATTGTAATCAATTAGTGAAATGGACAATGCAATTGTTCTCTCAAACAAATGAAACGAGACATGTATCTCGATTTTATTATTATTATTTTTATTGTTGTTGTTTAAATTTGCATTTGTATATTGAAATGCTGAACATTGAACAAATTAAAAAGAAATTATATTTTTTCGACAGAGACATCTTTTCATAAGTGAAAAAGAATAGAATCATCAAAAAAATGTCTCTTTTGAATAAACGATTTCACCCTATTATTGGGTGCAAATTGTCTTTTGCAAATGTATCAATTTCTTCTTTTTTTCATCACACTTTTTCAGACTGTATCGATTTGATTAACAAAACTATTAATCATCCAATTTCCTTGTCTGAATTGTCTATTTTTTTTTTCTCTAAAGATGACCATGCTCAATCCAGTTCGTTACCCCTTCGATAGAATCCAATGTAAATAATAACTATGGTAAAGTAGATAATAAATATTATTATAAAACAGTAGGGAATAAAGTAACAGCGAATTATTAAAGTGATTCGACTTTTTGCAGTGGAAATTGTTCAATTTTATTCCCTTGGTATTAATTCGAAAAAGAGAAAATGATTTCTTTTTTTTTACAACACGAAACTAAAACAAATGTGTTCAAGCTGTATGTCAAAATGAAACATAGTGAAATTACAACGTTTAGCCTTTGTAAAGTGAATAATGACAAGGGGAATCGGAGCATATGTGTTGATTGTAATTGTGATCATCAATTTCATCACTCGTCCGCCGTTCATTCATTATTTACAATGTTAAATTTCTGCTAATAGTTATATGTTTCTCTTTATTTGATTCGTTTATTTAAAGCCACTGTTTCTCCATTTATAAATGGTTTACTCACATTTTTTTGGCGCAATAAATTCACACTATTTGCGCATGTATTCATTTTATTGGTATTCTGTACCATTTGGTGTGTGAAGGAACTATTAGATATTAAGGTTTTGAAACATATACTCTGCCTAAATGTGACAATGTATCCGATTCCATTTCACATTTTCTACTGTCCAGTGGTTCATTGATAATGGTTTTCAGTTTGCACATTGAAGTGAAACCACATTCAAGTTTGACCACCCCAACATTGCAATTCGTTCACATTGTATCGCCAAAATCAATTGTTGTTGGTGAACGTCAATACTATTTTGCGCGCGTGGAAATTAATGGCATTGATTAAATTCTAGATGGTCACTTTGGTTTTACATGTAAACGACAATATGCATCCAATCGGGACCGTTCACATATTTTTCATTTGATCAATTGTTAGAGATGAGTTCGGTCCAAAAATAAGCGTCCATTTGTTTCAATCGATAGAATACGAATGGCATCTTCAACAAAAGAAAGCAAATATCGACAAGAAAGTGGCTTTTCAAATAAATAAATATTTTATAATTTGCATATTTTAGACAGATTCTTTGAAACACATTAAAACATATCGTAAATGTTTTTTTTTATGACTTTCGTCCCAATCTTTGACAAAGAATATAGATCATTAGTTTCTATTCTTATTCATTTTTTTTGTGACCTATTCAATTCTGTGTTCAGGTATCGAAAGTGGAATTAAGCCGACCGCTTTTGTTTAGTTAAACTGATACCTCTCTGAATATTTGTTGAGGTAAATTTCCTTACGTAATTAGTGCGAGTGGAAGGGAGAAAGTGATTAGAATGTTGTACTTTCTTTGTGCGGCCATTTGTAGGTCAGTCTCAGCATGTCGTTCGTTCGGTGAAGAACAAAAAATTTGAGCACATTTAAAATAAAAATATTTAAATTTCACAAAAATCAAATTGAATTTACACTGCAAAGAGAATTTTTTGCTGCCAAAAATATAGATTCAACGAGAGAAGAATCAAAGTGTTTTTTTTTTTGCTCGGAACATTCGCAAAGAATCAATTGAATACTAGCTTAAGCGATAAAGTAAACAAAATCGGTGATGATGTCGAAACGTGAACGAATTGATACACGTATTCCAATTTTAAATGGTGTACCACCACTTCCAAGACCATTGGTCGCTTTACTCGATGGCCGTGATTGTGCCATTGAAATGCCAATTTTGAAAGATGTTGCAACGGTTGCATTTTGTGATGCACAAAGCACGACGGAAATTCATGAAAAAGTGTTGAACGAAGCAACCGGTGCTTTAATGTGGCATACAATAACATTGACAAGAGAAGATTTGGAAAAATTCAAGGCACTCCGTATCATTGTGCGCGTCGGAAGTGGGACCGACAACATAGATATAAAAGCGGCCGGTGAACTTGGCATTGCTGTTTGTAATGTACCTGGATTTGGTGTTGAAGAAGTGGCTGATACGACATTGTGTCTCATTTTGAATTTATATCGTCGAACGTATTGGTTGGCAAACATGGTGCGTGATGGCAAGAAATTCACTAGTCCGGATCAAGTTCGAGAGGCTGCACAGGTGAGAAACAAATTTTTTTTTGTAAGTCATAAAATAAAAAAAATCATATTTTTTTGTATGCAGGGTTGTACTAGAATTCGAGGCGATACTCTTGGCTTAGTTGGCTTGGGAAGAATTGGAAGTGCAGTCGCTTTACGTGCCAAGGGTTTTGGCTTAAATGTTATCTTTTACGATCCATATCTACCTGATGGCATTGAAAGATCCCTTGGCATCACGCGGGTATACACATTGCAAGATTTGCTGTTTCAATCAGACTGTGTTTCGCTTAATTGTACATTGAACGAGCACAATCACCATCTTATTAATGAAGCAACGATTAAACAGGTTTGTGTTTTGTAATTTCACACATGACGTTTTTTCTATGACATTTTCACATAAATTAACAAACGATTTCATTGATGATATAAATAGATGCGACCTGGTGCATTCTTAGTCAATACGGCCAGAGGAGCACTAGTTGAAGAAGAAGCTTTGGCGTCGGCTTTAAAACAAGGACGGATAAGAGCAGCGGCAATCGATGTCCATGACAATGAACCGTATAATGTATTTCAAGGTCCACTTAAAGATGCACCAAATTTGATTTGTACACCACATGCCGCATTTTACAGCGAAGCATCGGCCACTGAACTACGTGAAATGGCTGCCAATGAAATGCGACGCGCCATTATTGGTCATTTTCCGGATAGCCTACGTAACTGTGTTAATAAGGAATATTTACATCGAACACCACCGTCATTGCCATCGGTATACAAGGACGGTTTGAATGGTAGTAGTGGATATTATTCAGGTGGTGCATTGCAACCGGCCCATAGCACGACACCACATGCATCAGCATCGATATCACCATCACCAGTCGGACCATCGCTTTTGGCTATTTCTGATATGAAGGCTGGACTACCGACACATGGAATCAGGATCAAATCTCCACGGGGCACACCAGAGAAAGGTGAACCATCTGACATGCACTAATGATCATTGAACCGCTTCCACCTAAACCGTTCAACAAATCGATTTTACAACAAAATCAACTCAACACATTCATCAAAACAATTAAACACATTTTTATTCCAAAACTCATACCCGATCATATACGCCTTTCATTTTATTTTACATTTCCTTTAAATTAAAATAACTATGAATAAAAAAATATATATATAACTGTCAAACAAACGATTTTATTGTATCGAAATGACTAGCAATTATCCAGTTTTATTAGGCTGGAATTAGCAGATTACTGAACGATACATTAAATTCGATCGGCAATAATGCCTTTGTGACCAATTCGTTTTCCATACAATTTAACATCAAACGCGCTTGAATGTGGGAGTAAGCCACGGACGCTTGCCGAAAACCGCAATAAACATTCGCTTATGGTCACAAATCGGAAATATACTAATTGGTTCCAAAATTTCCCAATCCCGCTGTTCAATTCATTCAAAGCGGAATCAAATCACGTTCGGATGTTTCATTTAAAAACAGCATGCATTCAACATCCATAGAATTTCGCAGTTCAGTTCTTTCTGATAATAAGCAGAGCATTTACGTTTTCTATTCATAGAACACAGCATTCAATTGTTACGTTTTTCTATTGGTTAGAAATAGAATTCAAACCGATCATTTTTTTAAGTTCGAGATTTGATGCTCAAAATGTCGGTATTCACTTTCATCTTTGGATTTTGTATCGAATCTTTTACAATCATGCAATGCTCATAGATTTATTATCGTTGCATTTGGATGTTTTTATGACTGTGTGAAAAAAAGGATTCGCACATTAAAGAGCTCAGCAAAGTTAAAACTGGTTCACTGTGTTGAATGTTAGTTTTTCATTGGTATCCATTTAACGTGTTTGAATTTGCATGAATGCTGTTTTCGCTTTGACGATATAGTTTTTTTTTAATTAATACAAATATAGTTATCAATTATATGTCGTTATTGTTAGTTTAATCGTTTATCAGTTAAAAACAAAATATTTTATCTCATTTTTATCTTCAAATATATTTTTCACTTCCAAAAACTAATCATGGTATCATTGCACCTACGAGTGTAGGCATCCGTTTCCTCCCTCTTATATAATTGAGCATTTTTAATTCATGGGAAATCAAATCCGGAGGGAAATCAATTTTCTTTCCCCCTTTATTCAGCCTTTTTTCACGTTCCAATGTTTACCCCTAAACCTGTGCCATATTCCTTTTGACTTTTTTTTATGTGCTTTTTTCTTTTGATTTCTTCATGATTTTCCTAATACATGTTGCAGCCACACACATGAATTAATTGAATTATTATTGATTTATCTCGTTGAATTGTCATCCTTTACCCGTGTACAAAAAGTTTTGTCAAGATTATCGTTGATGAATATCACTACGAAAACAATCATTTGCGAAGAATCGCATTTCATTTTCTGGAATGGATGAACATGCAGTGAATGAAACAAAAAATTCAAGCGCAAGCAAATGGTTGTTAAATGCCATTATTCAGTATCATCTTATTAAAATTTCATGTGTATCAGTTCCGACTTTATAAGGCAATGGTACCTGTCAACAACAAAACCAACTTACTCCTTCGTTGTGTTTTGTTCACAAGCTTAACTCTTTTTTGTTTCAATGCAAGTGCACACACAGACAAAATGATGCAGTGCAATAAAACAGCCAGCCCATTTGAATAACCCTTTCGTGGCCTTTCTTCTGTGAAACCAACATTGATTTTATGCTACCGTTTGCCATTTTGTCCATTTCAAGATTGAAATAGGATTAGAATTAAAATTTGAACGTTTACAATGTGCTTTTGTTTAAATGACTTCTTCTGGTTTACTTGAACAAATCACGACACGTATGGGTCATTACTGTTTCTTCAATTAACACAATTTTAGAAAAGTCTCAAAATAAATTGCTTCCAACCCACCTTTGTTAACCCATTTTCTGGCTACTCTTAAATCGGTTTTTCATGACAAATACGTCACAAAAGAGATGAATGCAAAAGTGCACCGAAGTCGTTTTATTCTCTACTGTTCTGAATTTGTTTTTTTTTCTTTTGTTTCAATTCGGATTCAATAATACACTAGGCGCTGGTCACCTATGCTAGATGAAGGAAAATGCTAAATATGCATCTTGGCAAAGCGTAATCATTATTTCAAATAATAATTTATAAAAAAAAGTTTTCTAATGTAAGTCAAATTGGCCACTTTACACAGAAAAAAAATAAAAGGCAGAAAGGTAAGTGATACTTGTGTTGAGCACAATATTTTCATATACATTTTCGAACTTTGTGCATTTTAAAAAGTTCACAAAATGGAAAAAAGATGCGAATGACTTCAACAGACATTTACAATTACTGTAGCAGGAACTGTAAACTGTTGTCTTTTTTTATCATTTTTGCAAAGGCACCGTTAAAAAAAATGACAATAGGTTTTTGTACTTGCTTGTATGTGCAGAATGCATTTTATTTGCAAAAAAAATATCGAGAATCATTAAGAGGAAACGTGTACATGTACATAGAGAGAGAGAGAGAGAGAGAGAGAGAGAGAGAGAGAATGGGTGTAAGAGAAAGAGGTTTGCTACTTTGATCATTCCATGAAAAATAAAGACATAAAATCATAAACATGTAAATTTTGCTACATACCTTCTCCAATCCTATAACCGGCAATAATTGCTCACTCATTTTCCCATTTAGTCTATTCCATTCTCTCTTCCAGCAAACCTTTTGGTAATAAAAAAAAGAGTGAAGAAATTGGAAGAAAGAATATCCTCAGACCATAAAACAGCATACGGCACAGTAAGTGATAATGAAGGGGTCATAGAGGAAGAAAGGAGAAATTCTTATAAAGATATTCGAAAAAGAAAAGCGAAGGGAGAATATACAAGAAAGAAAACTGGGAACAAACTTTTCTTTACTTTGTCAATACACTTGGTGCATCATAAAACAGTTTTCTTTTGCACACCCTTTCTGTTTACCTTTGAAGCCTTTATATTCTATGACTTGTTGAAAAGAGATAGACTGCGGAACGAAGACTGAAAAAATCCTGCGTCGAAAGAAACGATATATAGGTCTAGAGAATTGAACGTGCAAAGTTGAATATATGTTTGCCTATTTAATTTGATCAATTTGATACTTTCAATTCATTTGTATATCTCTTTACAATTATATGTATTTAATATGTTTTAAGTCGAAATATTATAAATATTGCAAAAATGTTCATACGTTTAAATACACTCCAATTATACATAACTCACAAGTAGTAACAATGACCAAGCATCATTGGGTGCAAATTTCAATTCATTGTCGCTTACGCATCTCAATTGTTTGTGGATCGGAAAGTATCCCACGACTTTTTTTTTGGTCAAAATGAGAATGAATTTTTGCAGAAAAAAATGCCAATGCGGTGATGGTTCTCAAAATATCGACATTTCCCTACAAAGTAAATTATTCACAGTCTACTACAAAGAAGAGAAACTACCACTTCATGTGTCGCACAGCGGATTTTTTTTTGGGCACACCAATCCGACACTTTTCCGAGCATGTATTCTTCCTACTGAAAGAAAAGCAGCGAACATTGTGATTTATAGGTACACAAATTCGGCGTGTGCAATACTCAATAGATTTTCGTGGCGACCCTTTTTGTTTATTTTTTTTGCGACATAGTCGTAGTTTCATGTTGACCATTTGACGTCCGAAAAATTCGAAGCAACGAAAAGAACCATGAACTGTTGATAATCGCTTCATGGTCAAATTGTGTGTTGCCATAAACATGTCTTTTTCGCAACATGTTGCCTCTTCCTGTCTATCTATTTTCGACTTTAAAATACAGCGCAACGAAATGTATATTGCTTAATAGGAAAAAGTTGTTGAAACGAGGATTGTTCACAATTAGAAGAAAAATGACATGTAAACTGAAAAGAAATGAAGAGCACACGGAATGGTGTACAACGAAGAGCCGACAACAACAAGAGACAAATAAACAACGCAATACGTAAAAGAATGTGTGAACAACATCGAACAAACCGACATGCATTAAATGCAAAAACCAAAGAAAAAAAGAAGAGGACACAAAGCAGTGAAAAACCCTGTGGTAAGTGAAAAATATTGAATGTTTCCAGCATAGTTCGTTCTTGCGCTATTCCTGTGAAGAATTTCGACTATCTATTGGATCAATTTAACTAAATCAACGACGAATTTTTTCATTTTTTTCATATTTGTATATAGTTTGAATGAAAATACAAAAATTTAAATTAAAAAAAGCGTAATTTATTGAATACTTAAAGATACAAAAATGAAAATGAACGATCAATTTGAATTTCCAATTTCAAATGTTTAAACTTTAATTTTACGTTTTCGAGCGATTAAAGGAACGATATTCAATAGAACTACGATAAATGCCAAATTGGTTGCAAATGTAGCTGAGTAGAAAATAATAGCACCATTCCATCGTGGTATTTGGCTGAGAATATATTTATTGAGGCATGTGATGATAAAAACAGATGGCAAACTCCACTTAACATCCATTTGAATGTTGAACCTGTTGAAATAAACAACAATCGCAAATTAGAACGAAATAATCCATTCTATTGGCAAATAGATGGCATTGCAGTTGGTCATGTGCAGTATTGTTCCGAACTACAGAACTGTCAATCATATTGAAGTTTCACCGTGTTCAAAATAAATAATCCGTGTAAAGCAGATTTTACCTTTTCGATTGTGGTGAACAGAGTATTAGACCAAACATGAGTCCAAATTCACGGGCCAATGAATAAATTGGCGTCGTTTCAGGTTTTATGTAATACGGGTCTTTACACCAATTGAATGCCTATATTGATACAACAGGAAAAAGCACACATTGAAAAAATATTTCAGTTTTGAATTAGAAAAATTGAAATACCTTTTTCACTGCCCATTGTGGATCATGTGCAAGTATATAATGTGCATAATAAACGGTAATGCAAAGACTTAGTACAGCTATTCCGAAAAGTAATGCCATTCCACGATGCATTTCCATTAAGAGTCGATTGACTTTTCGATGTTGAAGAAATTGACTGATTATAATGCCAAAACAACTGCCCAAAACACATTGATGGAAAAAATGACACGCGAAAAACATTCGCGATATTGATATGAATCCTAAAACGCCAACGTATACATTCCATAAGAAATATTTAAACGGTTTATTCAAATAGCGTCGAAACCATGGCGACTGATAAAATATCGTACGAATGACAAAAAATAAAATCGATGCTGTGAACATAACGTGACCGCTGGGATTTCCTGCTGTTGTTTCGCATGTCAGATATGTCTGTCGAATATTTGGCCGCGTTAAATTTGTAAATAAGTCGGATTCATTCACAAACCAGTAAGGTCGTGTTCCAGCCAACATCCTGCCAAAATTCCATTAATCATTTTGAATATAATTTTCTTGTACAATTGATATTGATTGCATTTCTTACTCACCACTTCAACAGAATCACACTGATGTGCGATATTATTGCTGCCGTCATTATATTTACATACTGTTTAACGCCGGTGCCCATTATCAAAAAGAACGGAAAGAAATATGTGTGCATAAATCGTGCGGTTGTAACATGGCTAATTAGTTCCAGATACGATTCGACCGGTTCAAATCTGTGAGAGAATAAAGTTAAACCATTACTTTGTACAACAACACCAAATAAAACTGCTTACACTTTCTGCACGAGAAGTATTTGAGTGATTTCCCACTTTAAAATACTATCAACTATTGACTGAAGCATTTTGTCTCTTTTCCAAAATGATTTGTTTTTTGTTTTTTTAAATTTCAAAAGAGACACCAAAATTTCATGTCGTTTGTTTGTCCAATACCTTTGAATGCCGCATTCTATTGCAGTAAAAATGTCAATTCCCTATACGAATTTAGAGTACAATATGCGGCAATGATGGTGGTATTCGGTAGTGTGCATGCGCTATAGTCGACCCCAATCTAACTTTTATCCGTATGAAATACATTGAAAAACGTCTTTTTTTCTTTTTTGGTGTTATATATTTCTACTTAACTAACACACTGAATTTCCATTTTGAATTTAATTCGAAGCGATTTTTTTAAATTTTTTTATGAAGATTTTAATTTCTGATGCATGTATAAAAATAATATCGTTTGGGGTGTTATATTATAGCTTCGAAGAAGAATAAAAACAACATTCGAAACGCCGGCATAAAGTAGAAACAAAAAAAAGTTTTGATTGAAATTCCATGCAGCAAAATATCATTATTGTGTTTGTAAATAGTCTATTTTCAATCAAAATGCTGTCCATGGGGGTTTCTTGGCATGAGAAAATTAAATCTGATATTAGTTTTGGGATAAAATTAATTTTCGATGCCAAAAATGACCATTTTGTTTCAACTACTTCCAGTAATGGAATCAGCCATTCTCCATTTCAACGTGATTTAAAACTTTCCATTAATGTCTAAGATTTGCAATGAATATGATTTCTGTTGCGGATAAAATATTCATAAGAATCACGTCCACAAAACATTTCCAATGGGAGAAGATATAAAAGACTAGTTTCTTTTGACTAGACTCTAATTTTAAAATGCCAACGTAAAATTTAATTATTCACATGACACAAACCACATGATATGGACGATAAATCTCGATTTTGAATGCACATCAACTAAAAACAGTACTCGTTTCTAAAAAGCAAACATTTTGGCGACTATAAACAAGAATAAGACGCTGAAATATACCGTTGATTGAAAAATACTGAATTTTCAATCTCGTATATATAGGGGACGATTAATTTTGTTAAAACAATTGTACATTTAACCATTGAATTCGTTACATCGTTGAGAGTCAATATGAAATTTATCTTGATTGTCGTTTTATTATGCATTGCCATTGTGCATGCTGTGCCATGTAAGAAATTACTCGTCAAGTGTTTTGTTTATACGAAAGTAAATTCTTAAAATATTTCTTTGTGTGATTTTTTTCAGTGCGGTTTAGTCGATCAGCTCAGTTCATTCCACAAAATAGCTTTTTACTTGGTGGAGGTGGCCTTGGTGGAGGTGGCCTTGTTGGAGGAGGCCTGTATCCTAGCCCCATTTTAGGTCCCGGCTTCATTGGAACTGCAGGCATTGGTCCAGCGGGACTTGATGGAATAGGTTTAGCGCAAGGACTTGGAACTCCGGCTTATATAGGATAGTTTAGTTCAAAGAAACTATTCATCTAAAGCATATATAGAAATTATCTAGCAAACTGATTTTTTGTTGAACTTTAATAATGCAAATGTTTTTGAAAACTCTGAATAAAATTCGGTTACACATTAAAAATTCTTTTATATCTTGAATTTGGAGACTAAATGGCCGTAAACTTATGTCAAAAATGCGTCGAATTTTAAATAACACTTCGTCGTTGGAAAAGAGTCAGAAAAAAGTCAAAACAGAGTCTCTTAAATGAATTCATGTTGGTATTTTTAATTCCATTGGACTCTTTTTAATTATTCTAACTTGAACTTGGATTGATTAAATTTAAAGGATATTTTTGGCATTTGAATAACTGAGTTTATGAATATAGTATAGTCACGTACACTAAAAATGCGAACACTTTTTGGATTATTACAGCCTGTATTTACAGGATATATGAACTTGTCACTTATGGACCTTTCTGTATGTCACTTGGAGACATCCACTCATATATTTATGTGGCGTGCACATTTAGATTGTTTGGAATTTAGTGATTTACTGCTCATGTACGAGTGTATTATGTTCATTGATTCATATCTATTAATGTTTGCGATATAGCGATATGCGATATGATGATGTGATCGAATTTCATTGTAAAAATTGACTTAAACTCGATTCTGGACGTATATAAATAAATGTGTAACCAAATTCGTACAAAAACCGAAATGAGTTTTTAACCGAAATTAAAATTAAATTTCAGATATGAACGTTATAAGAAGTCAAACAAGTTTTTGTGAAAATAAACTAAAATATCCTCTGTTCTAGCCGATTATCTACCACAAAGAAACAGATAATTGAAGTATTATGTGACCAAAATCACGTAAAAATGTGATGATTGATGATATAAATATTGGATTTAAATGAATTACGGTCATTATGTATTCAGCAATTAAGTTAGTAAGACCAACTAGAGTCAAAATGAAATTTTTCTTTGTTGTCGTTTTGATCTGTTTTGCCGTTGTGCATGCAAGTACTGAACCACGTATGAAGCCAGATAAATAAACGGACATATTAAGTGAACAAATAAGAGATTTTTTTTCATTTTTTGTGATTTTTCAGAGAGAGTTTCTCGTACATTAAATCATCATCGTCTTGGTCATCGTCCGCATGGTTTGATTCATAGTCCGCTTGGTACACCCTTGCAACCTATTGGTACACCCTTGCATTCGATTGCCACTCCATTTCACAGGCCAGGTGTTGGACTTGGCCGATAAATGCAACTAGAAGAACGGCACTCAAACTTTTTCAATGTTGTTATTCTCCAATATTTATTCAACTTGAATTTAAAAAATTTCTTTTGTTATTTTTTAATTGGTGGAACTGGTTTACATTGATCATGGTAAAAAATAAATCATTGTGAATAGTAAACGAAATAGCTATACATATTTGTTTTGTTCTTTTTTTCTTATTTTTTTCTGCAAATGTGTAAAATTGATCTTATACAAAAGTTGCATTTGAAAGCAAAAACTAAATTATTACCAAAAATTAACATTTAATCACACAGTTTCGAAAATCACACAGTTTGGCATAGCTGTATTCGATTTATTATGTTCAATCTTTTTGTTAATTTAAGTGATTTTGGTTGATCACGCTTTAAATGATAAGTATGGAAGTGATTCAATCGGGTGATTAAAATGTTCGCTGTTGTTGTTGTTGTATACGTAGAATGATCATATGGTTCATATTCGTTCTTTTTGTGATAACATATTCTCACTTGCTTAGGCACACCATACACTTCGATTCATTCTAATCAAAATTCGAGTAAAATTTTACAACAAATAACGAGAATAATCAGTACTTTCATTTCTTCCATTTCGAATGGAAGAATATTTCGCGGAATTTCGATAATTTCTGAATTATTCTAATAACGCTATTTAAGTTTCTTCTATTAGTGTTTTTTTGCAATTTTATTAAATTGTTTTCAATCGAAACCTACATCATTTGTAACAATGAAAGTGGAATTTGTGATTGTTTTAATATGTTTGTCTCTGAAAGTTTATGCGCTGTCTGATTTGGATAGACAGCTATTCAATGCAATTAGAGAAGGTAATTTTAAACTATCTTGAAATTGGCATTGAATTAAGGTGGCTGAGCTTTTACCAAGCAAACGCCAAATATATTTTTATGTTGTTTCCGACTGTCTCAGAGAGATAGTACACAACGTAGTTTCGCAATTTAACGATTTGAGTAGATACTGTGCTTAGTTTCCCTTTAAATTATTCAGTTTTTAT